CAACAACCATAATAATAACCGCAAAAATGTAAATATGCAAAGTAGTCAGTGTCATACTGTTAAGTACAACGACAACGACAACGACGATAATAATGATAATAATGATCATGATGATGTTGTCGTTGCTGTTTTTGCTAAAAATAATGATAATGACGATCATGATGATGTTGATGTTGATAATAAATGTAAAATAGTTGTAAATAATGTAAGAAAAATGCCACGAATGCATTGTATAAATAATAAGCAGCACAACATGAATATAAATTACAATAACAAAAGCAGTAATCAACGAAACGACATAAGTAAGAGTAACCGTAAGAGTAATAACCATGATAGTAACGGTAATAATGGTAGCTATTGTCTTGGAGCAAGAGATAGCAAGAAAATGACAACATTATTAACATCACCCATCACAGTGACTAAAAACACAACAGCACTACCAACAGCACTACCAACAACAGCACTAAAAACATCAACAGCAACAGCAATAGCAACAGGAAGAGTTATAAGACCGCCAACGAAAATAGAACAAGTTCAATTATGTCAAAATAAAAGAAGAAAAACTAGACGACGAGAAATAGGAAGTGAGGCCGACGCAAAGGAACCAAAATGTTTATATTCCAGGGAGAAATATACAGCAGCAGCAGCAGCAGCAATAACAACAACAACAACAATAGCGGCGACATCGGCAACCATGGTTGAAAGAAAATTTAAATCAGCGACATTTCACTCCCATTTAGCAGCCATGGCAACACCTAGAAAAACTGCTAAAGGCTTATCATCTACACCGTGTACGTTTGTGTGGCGTCATCGTCATTGTTGGTTTAGTATACGATGGCCTCACACACTACATAAGTCGTATGCTGTGATATTTATGGCTATGCTGGTGTTTAGCATATGCCACAAGAGCGGTAAGTTTTTTTTTTTGCTTATTTTTGAAAATTCAAAAAAAAAAATAAAATACATTTCCCATAGGCACCCCCTAAGGTGCGTATATGGACATTTAACGTTGCGGGTGGTGTGTGCTATAAAAATAAAACAAAAAAAAAATTAATAACAAAATGATAAATTTTTAAACAGATAAATAGCAAAATGTCGGATGTGGAAATTTAATGGCATACGTTTTCAATGTGTACATATATATAGCCGTTCAGTTTTTTTTTTTTTTCGCCCAATATTAACAATATTTCTAAACTACTACTAGCACTACTGTCCTGTGGGAAGTTTCTCATTTTCGAAATATTTCTGCACATTTAAGTCGCATTTAAGAGTAGTTTAAAGTGCCATAAAAACTGTAGAGAGCAAAAAAAAAAAAAAAAAAAAAAAATAGAAAAGAAAGAACTAAAAAGAAAACAACTTCTGACAAAACTTGACTTCAGTTATATGTTATAATATTCAAGCTGTCAGACTCTGTAAACATCTTTTCTCCCTTTTGTCCGACTGTTATAGTTAATCTATTATTCAAGCATTTCAAACTTTGACCGAACGACTAAAGTTTTATGAGCAAATTTTCTGTTAAGGTAATTAAAAAGCATTCGTTTTATTATCACTTGCTTTTGAGCGTTCAGTGCATGAGTTGAATAAGTATGCAGACTGCAATACATGCAACAAACAGTCTCTCGTTTTATAATAAAAACGAAATCAAACTTTATGTACTTTCAACCTAACCTGCGAACCTTTTTATGACAACAAATTATCACGTCATCAATGTACTTGAAATGTATTGCATGAATTATCGATTACGTAATTTATTAAGTGATTCGGAAAGAAATTTTGTTTTTGATTTCTTTATAGAATGCAAAAATATGTTATCAACTAGTCTCACGACTTATCATTCATATCAGGATAGCTTCAATTAATGTCTTTGTTTTGGTTTTATCACCTCCCACTGGCCTTCCAGCCAAAATGAAATTTTTATATATCAGTTTTGCGCCTGCAAGTAATTTTTTTCTGAAACCAAGTGAAAACATTTACGCAGAATCTAGCAAAAGAAAAAGACTTTTCGAACAACCTAATATTTAAAAAGAATATTTTGTTTGTCCTTCAAGCCCCCCATGTACTTATGTACTATCAGCAACAACATAACAAACGAAAAGTTAACTCTGTTTATATATTCACTTTTACACCCTTTACCGGATGTTGAGCGATATATTCATTTTGTCAAAACGTTTGCAACGTTCTTCAAAGATCCCAAAAAGTATATATGTATTCTTGATCAGCATCATATTCTGAATCAATTTAAGCACGTCCGTCTGTACGTCCTCATGTATGTTTTAAACTTTCTCTTGGCTGAAAAAGGAAGCTTATCGACTTCAAATTTGCCAGAAATTGTGGCATAGGGAGTTCTTGCAAAATGGTCGAAGTACACGCCTACAGTGCTACGTAAAGCCAAAACAACTCTGGTTTTTAGAACGAATAAAAAATTGTTTTTTTAGTTCATTATTCATAAACTCCAGACTAGGCGATACTGTAATACCTGTAGACGAAAAAAAAAAAAGTTGACCACGATTATCCTATATCCTATAGCGGGTCAAAATAAAATTTTTTTCAACATCTTCATAATGCAAATTCAAAAATCACTTAAAATATACAAATTCTTGACCATTTTCGCAAAAGTTCCACCGTTAGCAAAAAGGAATCGATTACAAATTTTGCAAAAGAGTTTGAAAGGGCGCTAAGCTTTTCAAAGGACACGCCACACATGCCAAATGACACAAAGTTTTATTTTGAAATGAGAAAAAATCAACTGTGCCCACTTCATATTATGGAACATGAAAATTTAGTCCTTCTACTCTTTTCATCTTGTTTAGGATAACGGTGATGGGTAAAACATTCCTTGACGATGGAATATAAATTTCTTACTTGTTAATTTTCCAAAATGGTTTGCGGGAAATTTTATACAACGTTTTGCTATAGATCATAAGTTATAATTTCCGGTTTGGTAGTCGTCGGTTCGTTTGTAGATCTATCAGATCCACTCTTGCAATAAACTTTAATATAGCCCTGATTAATATTTTTCTAGCTGAAAATGCATTTAGTTGTAAGTTTTCGAATACCGTAGTTCTCCTGCAATCACACGCCTCGAACGCAATCAGCTAACTAACCCAGAATATACAGAGCAAGGTGTAGGCTCCTTCCTCAGTCTTGGTGTCCATTTCACATGTACATAATGCAGCTTCTGATGTGGGCTTGTAAAAAGACAAACAGAGTGCATCTTCAAACTTTCATGATCGATATAGACGATAGCAACATAATATAATGCAATAGACTACATAAGAGAAGCATGGAAAATAGATTCAAAGTTAGACCGTTTCGTATGAGATAAGTCCAACGTAAAATCCAATGCGTAGTTATATCGACGCCGTTAGGGCCAGATTTGTTAATACGCGAACACACATTCACTTTATATGTATTGATCGCATTTCCCATCGCGTATCATCTCGCACACATTTTAAGTCAAACCATGAAAAGCCATATGTAAATAACATATCAATCGAACAGTCTTCTCGCTGACAGATGCCATCACTGCTGAGCAAGCAACTGTAACTTGCAAACTAAACATCAAAAGATCATGAATATTGACACGTATCGCCTGAAGGTTGGCCCTATTCAGAAATCATATGTGTTTATCAACCGTGTTGCCATACATGTGTCACATAAGAAACTTATTGAGCGATTGGAATACTTCATCATATTTATTTATTTATTTATTCCACTTATACACGAAACTCAACTAAAACAAATTGGCAGTCGAGTTCAATTGATTCTAAAAGTAACTCTTAAATTAATTGATATTAAAACTTAAGATAAGTACAATAAAACAGAAGGAAAAAAAGACAAAAGAAAAAAAGCATGTACACAACTAGCATAGAGCGACACCCACAACCAGTACAGGACCAAATTGCGATTGAACCCCTAAGCCATCGCAAACATGCATAAGCTTGGCAACCGATAATAGTTAACAACAATTCATTTTCGACTCATCGCGATATTTTAAGGTTAAGAGCTAGTTTAAGTACGACGAGTAATTACGCGCATTAAGCAATGTTGCTTTAATGGACTCTAAAGAGTCCGATAATGAGAATAAGCGATAGACATTATTTATGTTCTTGCAAACAACTCTGAGCGGGTTAAACAGTTCGTAATTATGTCTGCATTGACTAAGCTTTATCAAGATAAAGTGCCTAGAGAAGCGGTTAGGGACATTAAACCCTATCTCACGAAGTAATGCGGGCGAGTCAATTGTACCTGCCTCCTCTACACTCTAGACTCATTGGGGCTGGATGAAAATTGGAGTGATTTTCATTCTTACACCTAATACAAACAATTCGAAGCAAGTAAAGCTCTTCACAGCGATAGTTTGTCAAAGTTCCTATTAAAGCGAAAAAGTTTAACTTTACGTTTATAGGGAGAAAAGCTAAACGACCGTTAATGTAATGTATGGCAATTATTTAATTTATGCACTTAAGGAAAACATAAAATAACTTTTAAGCTATCAACAATAATGCAGTTAATAATATTTATTTATATGAATCCCATATAAGTCCATTGTCATCTTACAAACATGTATAAAAATTTATTTTAATTATTTTATGCATTCAAATAAAAGGAATTTTTTACGCTAACAAGCGGTAATGTTTACTATATATATATATATATATATATACACAACATAACATAGTTTTACTCTTCGTGCCCGGTAAAGGTGTAATGTATTTATAATATTTATCATCTCTTGTTGGTCACAAAACAAACTTTCAAACAGCAACAAAAAATTAGAAATAAAATAAAAAGAATAAACAAATGCACATAACATGTGGAATGAATAGTTGGCACATATGCAAACAAGACCATAAATTGCTAACACAAATTTGCATACACTTGAAATATATAGAAGGAGTTGGGTGTACACGTAAACATTTTTTATATTTCATAAAAAAAATTTCTTTCTTTCCTTTATTTATATTTTCCCCTCTTTTTTTTTTTTAGTGCCTTACAACATACGAAACATTTTCGGTAATAGATTCAATGCAAACCGACATTTATTAAGGATAATTATTTGCATTTATGACCATGTTTTATAACCGGTATTTATATTTATAACGGAATTAAAGTGTACATTAATTCTGCCATTATAATCGCTTCTGTCAAATGGTGCTTAGTATCGAGCACTGTTAGATTTTAATTGTCACGAAAACATTTTGCGTAAGGATTGCCTTGAATACAACTACTATGAGAAAAAAAAAAACTTTGGTTTTTGCAAAGATTTTTAACAATTTTCCCTAGATGAGTGTCTAAGATTCGATTCAAGCCCATCTACATCAAGCCGCTTGTGTTTGTTTAGCGTAATTCAGTGACTCATTAACGTGAATAATATACCATATTTAAGGATTGTTTAAAATGCATTTTTAAGCTTTTTGTTCTGTCAACTTGGATATTATGGTTGCTTGGGTTGAAAATCATTCACTTGGTTAGCTATGAATTTGAAAGAACATTCATACTCTCTCTGCCTTGAGTTTACTAATAATGTTTAATGAGAGAAAAGTTAACCGACAAGGATTTTTATTGTCCTAATTAACATAACGTGCAATAAAACAATCGAAAGCCTATTGAAATGACACAAAAGAGAAAGCTGTTATTTGATTACTCTCTCAATATCACATTAGAAAATTAGCAGATGTATATAAGAAACACTTGATATCCTTTCATATGTCTGCCTATCATCCATAGCGTGAAAGAAAAAGTTTTTCATTTCGATTTCTAAAAAGTAGCAAGTAAGAAAATCATATTCCGTCGTGACCGAATCATTTATATGATTCATCATGACCCTAAAAAAAAAGAAAATGAACTAAATTTTTAATAGTCTACAATACTGAGTAGACGCAGCGCTAAGAGGAAACCCATTCTCAGA